CTACTTTTAAGAGAGCTACAGAACAGATGAGCAGAAGGGTGAGGGTGGTCAGAGCTTTGGGTATCTATATACACATGCTAGGAAGCTGCTCATCTACACAGCCATGCTCAACGCTTAATAAAATTCACACCAATAAAAATGTATTTCAACGTCCATGAAGGGCAAAGAGAAAAGTAGTGGTGAAAGGTTGGATTTACTACCATTCCTGTACCAACTTTTATGAATGAACCACAAAATAAAGTTAAAGCTAAACAAAAAAATGTTTATTCTATTTCTGTTGTTGTTGTTGGACATGCTTCTGAGGGGAAAGTACTTTCACCATCCATTTGCCACTTTAAACAAAATAGCTTCGTTGTGACTTTGCTATAATAGCATCTAAAAGAATATCATTCATAAGCACCTGAAAGGATCATCCACAATTGTGATAGTGTCCATGATAATTTTTTCAGCCAGCAGGAGTTCTTTGGAGAAATGTGTGCACAACATGCCTATCCTGATGTCTAAAATGGCAGACACGGACTGGTTTCTTAATCATATTCCAAGCACTGCATTAACAGACCTTGGCTGACTCTTCAGCCCAAACAGGCAGGCTACTTCAGGCCTCAAAACAAGACCCTGCGAGGGGCTGCTTTCCACAGAGAGCTTTCCCTTCCCACCAAACAGTGCTTTCTTACATCCTCTGTGAAACCCCAGCCCTCCTCTGTAAACTCCATGCCTCCCTTGGCTGTGTCCCCAGAGCATTTGATAAGGCCCCTTGCACTGTATTATATTGACTCATGTGCTAGTCTCTTTCCCACTGGGCTGTGAGCTCCTCAAATGTGAAGACCCGATCTTTGTGTTCCTTCTTCTGCCTCTGGCACTTACTAGATTAGAACTGTATTAAAAGACAAAGCAATCTCCTGTTCTCATTCAGCACTCCCCAATCTTCCCTGGCATTTAGTGGGTTCTTACTGTGTTGAATAAGAACCGGCTGCTCTCTTTGCATTTTGATATAGTTCAGTGAGGACCGAGTATATTCACTTGATATTAGGTCCACTTTGCTTTGGCATACTCCCTGAGTCACCAGTCATTATCCGGCTAACCAAATCCCTACTATGCAACATGCTTCCATGTACCCGAAATACGCCCTTCACTCTTCACCCACAGCACAGTGTAAGCATCATCTAAGGAGCAAAAGGAATGTAGTGCATTTAAACAAACCCCAGCGCATAAATGAGTGGCAACTTTTTCGGAAGTTCTTAATACACCGGCAAAGCTTCATATACTATGAGAAAGTAGATATTTAAGTCTTGGTACATGTAGTCTCTTTCTCTTTATTGTTGTAATCATTTTTATGGTCCCAGGGATTCTTAATTTAAATCACAAAAAAATACTATAAATAATTAGGCCGTGTGGATTACTTCATTCACTTGTCCCAGTGTCCTCACAAATGAGTGACACTCCATGTGCCTTGGGAAGAAATCTACAGCTCCAACACAGAGCTAGCACATGGCTTTGGGTGGTGTGATTCCACACATGCACAATCACTATTGCTGTTCCTCCCCAATGTTTCCAAATAATGGAATGCTGAAAGTGTCCTTGAGAAAACCAGTTTTATGCAGTCCATTTCTTAAACACCTGTTTGAAAATGAGACACTCAATTTAATATGTCAAAAGACAGAATCCATGGGAATCTGGCAAGATTGCTCAGTGGGTGATGTGCTTGCCACCCAAAAGTATAAGCCTGACAACCTGAGTTTGATTCTTGAAATGGGCATGAAAGCAGAAAGAGAGGTTGGAGAGATGGATCCGTGGTTATGGGATCCGTGGTTATGAGTACTGGTCTTCCAAAGGACCCGAATTGATTTCTCAAAACCCACATGGAAGCTCACAACTGTCTGAAACTCCAGTTCTAGGGGTTTCAACACAAGGACATACATACAGGCAAAACACCAATGCATATGAAATATATATGAATAAATCATTTTAAGAAAGAATGGAAGGAAAGAAACCACTCCACAAAGTTGTTCTGTGGCTTCTGCATGCACACCTTAGCATTCAGACCTCCATGCACACATATACACACTAACAATAGTTTTTTTTTCTGAATTTAGTCATTTCTTCATGAAAGTGAATGTGTCTAAACTAATCATGATGTATTTTGTTTTGAACATGAGGCAAAGTAGTAACAAAAAATGTCAGGCATAATAAAGAAAGCAGGAAAAATTGAAAATTCGCTTTTCTTCTTTAAAAAAAGATGTGTATGTTTGACTACGGCTTTCCTCCATTATGGACATGGATATGTATACATAATAAGGTTAAATGGACAGAAGCTTTTGAAATAAAAAGTCGCCAAATGCCTTCAAATTCAATGAAATATTAAAAGTAAAGATTCTTCTAAATGACAGAAATTAAATCCCTATAAGACATATTTTTAAATCTACAATTGCTTTACAGATTATTAAGATACAAAGCAATCACAAAAAAAAGAACTGGAGAAAAAAGCAATACTGTTTCTAATACTACAAAGAAAACACCATAGTGACTTAAAGAGGGGAGTGTCATGTTGTGAACTCCAATATAAATGAGCTGACATTTAAAGTGATGGTCCCAGGACAGGACAACAGTGAAAGGGTGTTGCGTAGGATTATTGATGGGAGACCACACAAGGTACTCTGTAAAAAGGCTCAGTTGTGCCCAAGGATGGATGACAGAGTATAGTCACACTGGTTCTGTGTCATCACCCTGGGATACAGTCTGCCCACAAGATCCGAGGACCATTTGAAGATGTTCTGGATGGTGACTCATGCTTTCAAAAGATATGTGCAGTGTGTTTCTCTGAGATAGCTCTTCTAAAACCAAAGTTAATTAAAAATCCTAGATCTATGCTACCTGCTGTTTCTGAGTGTGACTTTCAGATGAATAAATGATATCAGAGCTATCAAACCACTACAGACCTCTGAAATGCTGATTAATAACTACCCAGATCATGAGTGAGACACTTTTTCCTAAATTATTATCTTCTATCTGCTCCGTTGATTTATCCTTTGATAGATACTATAGTACCATACATTTCTCTATTTTCATTTCATCTCAGTTAATATTTTAACTCAAGATAACCTTCCGTCTAACTCAAAATGCAAACTTAAAAAACTGTTTTACCAAAGCCAATGGGGGGAAAATGTGTGTTTCATATCCACAAATCAATTCAAATATACTTTTGTAAATGCTGCCTTAAAATGTGTCACTGCTCCCCTACTCTCCATACATAAGTGGTCAATGCAAAGACTAGTTATTCTCCATTTTGACACTTCACATGAAATTTCTACTTGCCCATTTAAAGCATTGATTTTTTGACATTTGTAAAGCAAACACTTTTATCTTACACAATACTACTGTTTACATTTTCAGCAGTTTTATCTAACTTGTTTTAAATAGCTGAAGTTTTCTATTTGTTTATTTTTTTACCAGCATTCTCAATGATGATTTCATTGTCTATGCTCCATGTGACCGAAGTCAACACTTTTTAATGAAAATGTCTTTTCCTGCTAATATCCTTCACTTAATGCTACTCTACCTATTAGGAGAGAATATACAATATGCTTAAAAACTCAGAAGGAAAATTATGCACTTTCTTCATATCTTCTGATCTCATGAAGACACTCCAAGTGAAAGTAACAAATGCAGATGAATAAGCATATTCATATTTTAAGATATAAAATAGCCCTAAATTTAATTTCGAAAAAGAAGTTGTGTTAAAATCTTTAAATGCAGCCAGACAGTGGTAGAGCATGCCTTTAATACCAGTACTCGGGAGACAGATGCTGGTGGATCTCTGTGAGTTCCAGGTCGCTGTGGTCTACAGAACTAGTTCCAGGACAGGTAGGGATATAGAGACCCTATCTCGGAAAAAAAAAAAGAAAGAAAATCTAGAACTGCATTTTTTAAGCACAGTCTAACGTGTTCCAACAAACTGTGTATACTGTCTCACTAGTCACTGCACTGCTGGTGGGAGATGGATCTTAATAACTATCTCTATTTAAAGGTGAGCAAATTGAGGATCTTAAAGATGAAGCTAAGTAATCAAGGTTGCACAGGGGCACTAAACTCTCTCTTTTGAATGTTTCCAGATGGAGGAGAGTGCCTACATGGCTAGACAAGATGAGCAACCATACAGTGGATGAGTGCTTTGCATTGGTGATCTAGCAGAATATATTACAAGGCAGCACAAAGCAGGAATGGCTAGATAGTCTATGCAAATACCATTGTCACCACAGTCTAAAATAGTGTGGCATAGCTTCTGCATTAGAAGAGTCTCCCTGAACCCCAGGGTAGAAGGATGCTTTAAAGAGTAAAGGCAACAGCTCGTACAGAAGACATCTTTAAATGATACTCAGCACCCATGACTTGTAGTCAGCCTTTTCGTCCCCAAGATTCCATTACTACTAATGTCCCTAGCCATCCAGCAGATGTAACTTGTTTTGAAAATACGACAATACGTGTAAAATCCATGGAGAAAAAAAATACTCCCCTTCTATGCAGGCTTGTGAAACGCACCCTGGAAGGCATAATTCAAGCGGAAAGGTTTTCCAAAGCAATGAAAGACAGAACTAAATGTAAAATATTTGACATTCACTGCTTCCACAAATACACTGAAACAGTGCAAACTAAAGTCCTCATTTCAGGAGAAGCATAAAGGAAACAGCATCCAGCAAACAATGCCACAAAGGATGAGCCCAAAACAGATGTGGGAAAAATAAACACCCTTTGCTGCCTTGGAATTTATAAACTAGTCCACAGTGGCAAAGGGGTCTTCTCAGCACCCTTTCACTCTGGCGCCCATAAAAACACACTGCAGTGAATGTTTTACTAACCTTATAATAGCACCCTCTGATGAAAGCTTTCTAAGACCACCACAGGCAGTAACATAATTTAAAATAGTCCATACAATGCTTAGAGATCCTTTAGTACATTTTCACTTTATGGTGTATGCACACTCCATCTCTGGTGTATTTCTTTAGGGGAAAAATGTCCATGAAGCTCGCAACAGGAACGTTAAAATGCAAGATACCGGAGAAGAGTCCCATGAGATGAACTTGGAATTTTTGCCACAAAGACTAGCATCGTGAGATTCTCTTTACATATGTATGTATGTGTTTGGTTGCATATAAGCTTTCAGGACTAGTGGGAAGAGAGGTCCTCTACAGGCTGGACAAGCAGAGAATGAACAGTGCTACCCTTCAGACCTGTTCTACAACACTTTCTCCCCCTTGAACTCATATGTTACAACCTACAACACAACCTCTGTGTATGCCTCACCTCCTAATCTCACATTGCAACTTGTTTACAAAATACTAACTAAGCTGAAAGGAAAGTTGAGAAAAGGAACTGTAGTTTACATCAAAGGATAAATCACCAAAGCAAATGGAAAATAATAATTTGGAAAAAGCATCTCATTCATGATCTGGATAGTTGTTAATCAAATTTAGAGGCCTGCAGTGTTTTGATAGCTCTGAGATCATTTATTCATCTGAATGGTATATTCATGTCAAAAGGAAGAATTCAGTACCATCTTACAGTAAAACATATCTTTTAAGTGTTTATTCATGAAACAGTGTTTGCACAACTACGGCCTTTATCCTAAAGGGATTCAAATTTCTAAGTTAAAAAGAGATGAGTTTTATGAATTTGGTGGAAATTTCTAAATGTTTAAGTTATCAGACTTATATCCCAGAATTCCTCACATGGCTACATCACAATATTTTAGAATTATATTTTTAAGCAAACTATGAGGTGGTAAGGCCACTAGAACTAAAAGTGTTACTTTAAATATGAAGGGAATAAAATCGGGAGTATTTGAAGTGCCTGCCTGAAAAAGAGACAGTTGCAGTATAGATGGAAGAGATGGACCTTAATAATTGTCACTATTTTGAAGAAGAGTAAACTGAAGTTTTTAAAGAAGTTGTGTTATAAAGATTGACAAGGGAATTGTAATCCAGGGTCTGTGGAAGTCTCTTGTCTAATATTTCTGAGTTTAGAATCGAGTTGTGTTTATATGTGACTAGAGAAACAACCAAAAAACACAACTAGTGAGTATTTTTCACTGCTTATCCAGAAGAGTATATTAAATGTTATCCAAATCTCAGAGTGGCAAGATAATTCATTTAGCCCCACTGCCCTCTGCTTTTCTGTCTCTCTGTTCTGGCCCCATCATCAGAGCCTGAAATAGCATCATACAGCCAGCACTCTGAAACTGTCTACCCATCCACAGTGCCCTCCTACTTCTGTAATTACTGTAATGATGAGTATTTGGTACTTCTGAAGTCCACAGAAAGCCATGATTTTCTGTTCCTGGCTGCTGCTGCCCATGTACATAAGCTAGACGAATACGTATTTCATTTTTAGCAATTTCAGTATATCAAAATTTCCAACAATATTCCACTTATGTTTTGAGTGAATTTTCAAAATGAGAGGAGTTGATTTTTACCAGTAGAATGCTGAAGTCCCCACAGACAATCATAAAAAACCAAAGAGCAGAACTCTGGGAGTATAGCATGACCGACCATAGCTGTAAATAGATAGCCAGTGAGTAGCACAGGTTTCAGCGGCCTATGGAATTTCTGTGGTGTAAAAGGGAAGAAAAAAGAGGAGGGAGAGAGGGGGATGGAGGGAGGGGGAGGGAGGGAGAAAGGAAGGAAGGAAGAGAGAGAGACAGAGAAAGAAATGAAGGAAGGAATGAAACAAAGACATTGTATTCCTTGAATTAATAACTTTTAAAGTGAAGTATAAGAAAAAGCATATTTCAAGTATCTTAACTTTTTGCTGTATCTTACTCATATATACTTTGGTTCTGGCTAATTGACGGGATTGAATCAGATGGGAAAATAACTTCGTTATATGTCTCTCTAACTTTGTTATCAAACAACAGGAAGCTGTTATATTGCAAAGGGCATGGTGGGTATTCTCCATGATCCCCAAGATGAATAAAGCATTCCAGACACCCAGGCACTGCACATGTCAGGCCTGCAAATATAGCAGCAACTGTCCCAACATGTGCTCATGGGGTGCAAGCTCCATTAAAACCTAGGCTGTTCACAGTGGTTCGTAGGCACATGCAAATGAAGTCATCATCTGATTCTCTTTTCTCCATAGCAAAACAAAGTGACTTAAAAGAAAAGAGGAAACTGGAAGAGAAAAGTTTTGAGAAGACAGTAAAGGAAGGAGGGCAGGAGGAAGAAGGAAGGAGGAAGGAGGAAGGAGGAGAGAAGGCCATCTTAACATTTTGACTGACAATTTTTAAGCACATCTATTTAATTAAGTGAAAAATATTTTTTGGTACTGATAGTGCTTTGATTTACAAGTATGTCTTTCTAGCTTTATTAACATTAATTTAAGTTAAAATGGCCTTGCTTTTTACTAAGTAAAAACTGAATGCATAAAAGGTGTAGATAATATATACTATTTTGAGATCTGTCTTCTCTTTATTAAGTGAAAACTTCACCAACATCATGAAAAATGCTTATCTCTGAAGTTCTCACAAAATACCTTCACATTGACAAATGCTATTATTGTTATCATTTTAAATGAAAACTCCTCAGAACCATAAATTGTATGGGAATAAAGTTGATGCTTTTTATATTATGTTTTGTCTTAATACAAAGAAAAAAACCTGAAGTCATGCTTTTCTAGATGAATGGCTGTTACAACATAAGCTATTTCTAATGCATCTTTTCACAATTTGGAGTTCAATTTGAAATTTTGCATCTAAATTATTAACAATCATGTAGATTATACAATCCATAGTTTAACATTAACCCATTGATTGTTTTCTGTTTTTTACATTTCATTAATGTCACACAAGCAATTTGTGTGACATTAATGACTATATATAAAATTAGGGGTACATGCTATAAGCCATAATAATTGGAATATTGAACTCACAATGTAAGGTGAGGTGTTTGTATTTTTAATTCTTATAAAACAAACTGAACAAAATTTAAAATAGTCTTCACAATGTTGAATGCATTTCTAAGTAAAAGTGCCTTGGCATTTAATATATTTAAAAATAAATATTTGAAAAGTGTATCCACAATGTTCCTTAAGAAATGGCTTAGAATTCCAGAGTCCCAAGGAGATGAATTGGCTGTCAGATAACAATGCGCTTCTATCTGATGGACTTGGCAGTTGTAAACAAATGGAATTTTCTCAGCTTTTCCTCACAAATATGAAATATTTGCTCTCAGCCAACAGCTGGCGTGATTTAAAGAAGTCTTGCATATATATTAGTTTTCATTCAAAATTACAAGCCCTCCTCCCACTCTGCAACATCTGACTTAGTCTTTGTAGAACACAAAATTGTTCTGAGATGAAGTGACATTCTCCGGGGATGTAAAAGTCAAAAAATAGTATCCACTTACAACTCTAATCAAATTTCAAATTATATGGTATCTGTAGTATTTTTTAGGAAGAGCTAATTTATTTAAGATGAAAGTTCAAATGCAATTCTGAGATGAGGCAGCTTTAAAAAATATGAAAAAGTTTACATTGTTGTTATGTTACCAAAGATTTAAAATTACAATACAAGTGAATGTGAGCTTCAGAAAGCACCATAGAGAATCCTAAGACTTAAATGGAATTTCAGGACCAAGTTTCAGTACGTCCATGGTATGACTAGATGACAATTTTGACAAAACTGCTAGCATTCCAATGAACATTTAATTTTCCATTCATTTACATTTTATCAATACATTTTAAAACAAGTGCTTTAAAATATCTTTGAGAGTTACTCACTAGGTATATCAGCTATGGAAAAACATCTATGAAGTAGCTGAAGAATAAATACTTTCAGAGTGTTTTTATACATTTAACATAGGCTACAAACATAAGAACTTGGGTGTACATTCAATTAAATATTTATCTAGATTTCACTTCCTTAGAAAGTACCTCAGTGCAGCTGAATCAATTTATATACTGTTCCATAGTTAACACTGTAATGGACACATTTTTAATAGTAAAACAAAGAGGACATGACTATGCTTTGCCTAATGCAATAAAACATAGCCTGCATATTCAGAAATGTATCACAAAATTACAAGCCAGTTTTCTACTTCTAAAAAAAACAATGACAGCATTAACCTGGGCCCAGTGAATCTGAATATATGTAATGCCAAGAAATTAAAATATTTAGATAGAAGTATCAATTAAATTTGCTAAGGTGAATATTAGGGTAGGCATGAGAACTTATTAGAATAATTATTAGTACATTTAATACAGATTTCACCTGCTCTAAAAATGAAAACATACTGAACTTCAGTAATCAAGACATATGAAATCTGTAAACATATTTCATATTACAAAGCCTATAATTTCTCTTATTTCAGGTATAAATTTTGTCTATTATAATATGTGACTAATATGTATTCTGTGAACACCTTAACATTCAAGTAATACATATATCTATAAATTTTTTGTGTCTAAAACAACATTTCTTAAAGTGCAAAATCTACACTTCAACTTCATGGAAAAAAATGCCAGTGCTGAATGGACCACCTATCCCTACCTTAATAATCTGTAGCTTACTTTTCACAGTCATAATTTAGAAGCTATTGTAAACTAATTAAATAGATTTGGAAGTATAACTTATTATCAGTGTTCATTATAAGTACTAAACCTCAAAAGATATAGATCTTCCATAAGACCCCTTTTAAATGTTCTAAAGGACCAGTGACGGGGCACTCAGTAACAACATGGATGCTTACAAGATTCTTATCCAAGCCTCTCTTCCCATAAAGCACAATTAATAAAACACAAATATGATCTAAACCATTCTTTCTGCATAAGCCACAGATAACAGATGCAAACACATGTACCTATTTCAGTACCCAACCAATGATTATAAAGGAAATAAGTATCTCAGGAAAGCCCTGAACTTTCATGCTTTAATACAAATTTGTCTTCTTTACCCGGGACCTTTACTTTTACGTTAGATAACACATATTTGTGCCTTTTCTTCTTAAACTGTAAAGCCTAAGCCATGAAACTGAAGACATAATCCTTGAAACTCAAGTGGTTTTAAACACACAGACATGTTGTCATGGGTCTGGGACTGAAAATACTCACAGTCTCTCCAGCTCCTTAAGATCCTGGAATGCTCCCCTCTCGATAGTGCTGATCTTGTTTTCCATGAGCTGACTGAAAAGCAAAATATAACAGGGTTCTTAGTGTCGCCAACTGAGGGGGTTGTGACTTAGCAGCCAAAATCCTCCAACCCCTCTCTCACGTCTCCATGATATTTTGCCTTCTATTGAGAGTCACTAGCAAATTTAGTAATGCAGCAGGTGAGAGAACTCAGAGGGGGGTCGTAGCTTTCATACCACAGGCATTTAGCTTTAAAATTACTACAGAAGTTACTAATGAAAAGTAAAATGTAAACTTTAAATTCCAACATAGTTGATAGTGGAAACTATCCTTTGAATCAGTTTTATTATACTGATTTCATCCATGTCCCTAACCAAGGAATGCAGTAGCTCAACACGTGTTATACACAGTTTAATTCTGACGTATGCATGCATATCAGCAATAAGTCCTTAAAGCGTCACGTACCCATAGTAGTCAAAAATATAGGGCCACTGGGTGTAAATATTTACAAACATATGGGGCAGAGCAAATTTACATAATATGGACTCTTAACTCGCAGCTAATTTAAACCACTAATTAGTGCACTAATGATTTCATAACAATTTGTATCAGTTACAAAACTACAAAATAAAGGAGTGACACCCAAAATGAGACCAATATGTTTGATGTGTATACACTCCCCCACAAGCCTGCTGAAAAGATGTTTGCATGATTTTAGTGGTAAAGATTTCTCTACTTTTTTCTGTTTTTCAGAAGAGAAATCTGGATACTTTATGTCAGTAAGAAGAGGAAGTTGGTTGCAAGTCCTCAAAGGATCAGTTTTCTGCCTTTATTTATTCGTGTTGTGAAAATAGTGATTCTACATTTCTATGTGTAATGTCCTTAGAAATCTGAGGTCCTTTCTACCCTCTTATCCCCCATCTCACATCCGCTCTTAAAGACACAAATTTCACTAAAAGTTACACAATGGACCACAGAAATCAGTACAAGAGGACCTTAGGGTTTTGTTTTGTTTTTTATGCTCCTGTCTTCAGAAAAGCTTTAAAATCTATGAACATTTAGTGATTACGACTAAGCATGTCATCTTAAAAACAAAACTCCCAAGACTCGAAGGAGACACTTACAGAACTCTGAGGTGCCTGAGACCAGCAAAATCTGTCTTCGTGATCCTTGTGATGTTATTTCCATTGAGATCCCTAAGAGACAACCACAAATTAAAGTTCCTTTTTATTTCTATTATATTTGGTTAAACAAAGTAAAACTTAAAGCATGTTGGAGCTTTAGAAAAAAAAAACTTTAATTCAATTAGTGTGGCTTAAAAAGTAAGCCAGAGAGCAAAGGGAACAACAAGCCTTTGAAATAATAGTTTATAAAGGTCTTATGTTTACAAAATTCTTGCTGACATATGACAAGAAAATGAAATAATGATGTCATCACTAGCCCTGGCTTTTGTTGTGTTTTTGGCCTGTTGTGTGTGAGTGCTTTCGATTTTGGTTTCCAAAGAAATATGGGTATTTATTTACTGAGTTACTCTGCAATGTTTGCCTTTATTTTTAGCATTGCCCCCAAGAATTTTCTTTCCGGAAGTTTGATGAAAAAATTTCTCATAGTATTCGGAGAGAAAATTTTAAAGATAGAACACATTGTGGCCAAAATTCCGGAGGCAAAGAAAAGTGTGTGTCAGGGAGAGTTCCAGCACCTCAAAGATCTCCCCACTTTTTTTAGGTCCCTGGGGAAGCTGAACTCTTTTATTGCAGCTCTTGGCTCCCCCACCCCCACCCCTGTACCCCTGCCCCAGCTCTGACTGTGACTATAGTTTAAACTTCCAGTGAGAACAATAATGGAAGTAGGATTTGGCCTTGACACACACACATTTGTTCCGTTTCAGCACCACTTTTTTTTCTTCAGTCACAACCTTCTTTCTGGTCAACAACTAAATTTGCAGGACTTTATTCATTCACAATAAAGTAGCCTTTGGGAAGTTTCTCCGTGTTCCTCTCTAGACGCTCTCTTATGTTCGACTTTCAAATTTCCTGCTGAAATCTGTATTTAAAGTGTTTACTTTGCTAACGATAGAATCTCATAAACAAGCACTGCATATGTGGTTTCCTGAAAAACTCCACAAATATCTCATAAGGATTTTTTTTTTTAACCACTGGGTACTCCACTGCCATTTCTGCAAACCCAGAGCTTTGACAAGTTAGTGTTTACACTGTTTTAAAGGACATGGAATAATGAGAGCTAAATTAGAATTACACACACACACACACACACACACACACACACACACACACACATTTCTCCCCCAAACAATCGCTCTGAATTGTCTCTAAAGTTATGGGAGCCCTTCAAGGACTTTTGTTATCTCCTGCAATCCAGAACACAACAGCACATAAATGTACTGGATCACATCCTTACCGCGCTAAGGCCCAACTATGGGCAGCGGGGGCTTAGAGAAATAATCAGGGAGAGCCCCAGAGGGCTGGAGCTTTCTGAAAGAGGAAAGTCCTGGTCCTGGACCCTCAAAGAGTGGGGGCGCGGGTTGAATCAAGAGGAGAGCAACTGTTGGCCCTGATGACTTTGAATGCAGAAGTGCTGCCCTGGAGTGTCCCTTTCCCCACAGTTAAATGCAGTCTTAGGAAAGAACTCCAGACTCTGCGCAATCACCCATGCCACGCCACACCGATCCGAGCCACACCAACCTAAACCACCCGCGCCTGCCCGACCGGTGCGCAACCGGGGAGCCCGGCGCATCCCCGAGCCTGGGGCAGGTTCGTGGTGGAGGGCCCCGCTTCACAAAGAGAGTGGCCTCCGTGCTTCACTTCCCTAACTCGGCAAGTGCCCCACCAGGAGCGCGTGGGCCGTCACCCCCCGATCTGCGTTTATTTCTTCATTAAAGACTCGAGCCGACAGGGAGGCGGGGACGTCTGCGGGCGGCAGAGCGCGAAGAGAGGCCGGCAGAGCAGCTGCCACCACGTGAAGGAGCTCACAGACTGCCAGCAAGGTGCCCCAGGGCACACAGCCACAGCGGGGAAGTACTGGAGGGAGCAGCCCAAGGCCACAGGGTCACCAAAGCAGTTGGACTGGGCCCAGTGGGTTCCAGACACAGAAGCAGTGCTAACTTTACTTAAGCCCTGGGTCCTTCCTCAAGTCTCCTGCTAAGTGGATTTGCTTAAGGATGCTACAGTTGCTGCCTCCTCCCGGTAAATGAGAGCGGCTTTAGAAAGTCGCCGCAGGGAGACGGTGCGTGTTGCCACTGAGCCTACTCTTGCTGTCCTGGAGCAATCATCCTTCACAGACTATAAAAAGATCCCCAGGGCACCCCAAAACTCCACCTCCCACTGGTATTTAGAAGGGCACACAAAGCCTGGGATAGAAAACTTCTCTCCTTTGAGCAGCCTGCCACCTCCCTCTTTGCCCCAGTCTGAAGCAACAAGGTCCTGAAATAACCCGTTTGCAACACCGCAAGGTGACTGGTTTTGCAGAGTCTGGGAAACGCAGTCACACCTCCCTTGCCCCGGGCATCTTTGAATTCTGGTTCCAGTTGCCTCGCTCCCCAGCCAGAAAGAACTGATCCACAGTCCACACGCAGTTGCAAGTGGGGGTGGGGGAGGCAGGGAAAGGACACGTAGCTGCCAGCGATCCGCCCCTCCTTGGCAAAGGCTCCTCCCAGTTTAGTGCCCGCCAGTCTTTCACCTTTTCAGAGGGCCCACCCCCAGGATGTCCAGGAGAGCTTCTGAGAGCTACCCCGGGAACCGGTTTCCACCACACGTGGACTGTCCAGGCTGGTCGCTTAGGGATACACTACCTCGATGGGGAGGGAGGGAGAATTGGGAAGAGCTAAGCGCCCATACTCACAGTCTCTCGGTGTTGCGGGGAATATTCCTGGGCACGCTGCGCAGGGCCAGCCCATGACAGTCCACCGTGCTGCCTGAACAGGAGCACTGGGCCGGGCACGCCTGCGGCGCCACCTTGTTCAAAATCGACAACACTAACCCCAGCGACAGGGACAGTGTTTGCCAACCAAGGCTGCTCATCTTCCCCAGCAGGCTCCTTGCTCTGTCTGAGGGACTTCTCTTTAGCTCTCTGGCGCTTGAGAACTGGGCAGTGTCCGAGGCCGGCTGCCTGGAGCCGGACACACACCGTAATACGAAACAGTAATGTAAGGCAGTAGAGCTGGCAGACGCGCACGCCTTGCCTCTGCTCTCCACGCTTTTCGAGCAGAGCAGAAGATCCGTGGGCAACTTCAGGTCCTGAATATCAATAGGCCCGAATCAGGCTGCGAGCAGACCCCGAAGCGGCTGTGAGGACAGAGCGGGTCTTCAACTTGGCGGCAAAAGAGCCCCTGCTCGAAAGGACCGCAAAGATGCAGCGGCCGGTTGCTTGAAGACAAGCGAGGACTTCTGACCCCACGGACCTTCTAGGAAATCCGATTCCACTTGGAAGAGCGCAAGGCTGAGGAGGGAACTTCAATAGTAATGGTGGCCCTGATCAAAGTGGGCTCCCCCGAAGCTAGAAGGCGCAAGGGCCTGGCAGGTCCAAAGCAGAGCCTTCGGAGAGACCGGGCATGGCGCGCGCGGGGGCGCACCGGGTGTTCACGCAGCCCTGGGGGCGCCGGGCGGCGCTGCGGGGCGCAGGGCTCTCAGCTCCCAGGGCCTCTCCACTCCTGCGGCACAGCAGCAGCCCCAAGGCTTTTTCGCCGCCTCCCGACAGCCAAGGATGTCTTGCACACACACATGCACTTCACTGGAGGATATCTGGGCAATCCCTCCTCCCTCCCGGCGTCCTTGGCGACGCTCTGCACCAGGGCCTGCCCCTGAGGTCACACAGAGAGACAAAAGGGCAGTCGGACCGCTGCAGCCCTGCAGAAATATCCACTAGTCCGCACCTCTGCAGGAAAAAGAAAAAAAAAATCCAGAAAGCCAAGTTTACTAGGAGAGCGAGAGCATAGGAAGACTGAGTAGGAACTGGCTGGGGGCAAGACTCTCAGACAGGCAAGCCAGGAGCAAAGCAAAGGCTCGGTGTCCGCGTTGCCAGTGCTGCTAGTTTGGCCGGATGGGTATACTAGGTGACGAGCGGGCAGGAGAATGGGATCTGTTCTCCAGGTAGATCACAGGCGACAGGCGACTGGCAATCGGGTGTCCGCGCTCTTGTCAGCCCCTCTGGTCCCCGAGATACGCCGCCGCAGCTCCACCGCACACACCTGACGGCACAGGTAGAAGAAACAACAGCGATGTCCTGAGGGGCGCAGCCTCGCAGCCACCCCTCAGGCAAGTCCCTGCGAGTGGGTCCTCCACCTCCAAGTGCAGGAAGTTTCCCCAGGCGTTGGAAGCGGTCGCTCACTGTCACCGGAGGAGTCCAGCCGCGGGTGTGGAGATGCCGCTTGGCCCCGGACGCTGCACCTGACTCGGCGACCGCAGTCCAGGCAGCGCTTTAGCTTCTAGCCCCTTCCCCTCCTCTCGGGGAGGCTTTCGGCGCCTGCGGCTCCCGGGAGGAAGGTGGGGGGCCGGGGGAGAGAAGGCGGAGACAGAGAGCGGGGACTGGCGCTCCGGAGCCCCAGGCAAGTGTCTAAACAATAGGACGGACGCCGCTGCCTAAGTCTCGCCGGGCTGCTGGAAGGTGGGTTGTTGTTGTAACTGGAGTTGTCTGCTCTGGCTGCTGGGCGCTGAGCGCAGCCGAACAAAAAGACCCCAGCCCGCGCCTCTGGGCCCCCGGGACGTTCCCCTTTCTCCTCAGTACTCCCGCAGCCCCCGGAAAGCTGGGCAGCTCTGGCCTGCGCCCCGAAGCCTGGGCGCTCCCATCCCTCGCCGCCGCCGCCTTCTCTCTCCTCCTTTTTTTAACCACCGTCTGCGGCAGTCACAGCCGCCGCCTCCAGCAAGCTCCGCCGTCCAGGCGCTCCGCAAATAAATAAACCCAAGTCCGAAGTTAACGCGGTGGCCGGGCTTTATATAGCAGCGGGAAGCACCCACCCTTGGCTCCGCCCCCGCGGACCCCGCCCCGCCCCCTGGACGCGCGCGGAAAGCCCGCACCTCGCTCGCCCGGGAGAGGTGAGGCCCAGGCTGCTAGCGCCGGGTTGAGGCGGCGGCGCGCGTTCTCGTGCGCCCCTGCTCGAGCGAGCCCAGACTCCTCCGCTGGGGCAAAGTTTGCCACTAGAAGGAGGCTCCTCGCCTTGCAACTGCTTGGTCCAGAGGTGGGTCAGAGCCCAGAGAGCCAGGCTCCCAGAAAGAGAACGGGGAGAGGGGCGGCTTGGAAAGCAGCTCATAAATAAATGAAGCCGGCAGCGCCTCTGCCGCAGCCTTTCGAGGCGCGGTTCTGAAGGGGACCGCTCTGGGCTTGCAACACTGCAAAAGAGAGAGAGATGGAGAGATTATGATTTTAAATTAAAACCAAAAAACCCTACTGAAATAGATCAGCCTGCGCTGGTGCACGTACCTCTCTCTCTCTCTCTCTCTCTCTCTCTCTCTCTCTCTCTCTCTCTCTCTCTCTCTCTCTCTCTCTCATTTTGGGAAGCTTAAAGTTCAGAGTTTTAACACGTTGGAAATAATGTTTTCCAACGTTCTTGCTGGCCTTCCTAACCCACCCTCTTCCGTTAACCCTTTCTTTATACTCACTTAACTGGAAAACACCACGCCAAGGGTGTAAATGCAACTCTACAAGCTCACCGGACTCCAAGGGTTTGAAAGTGTCCCCGTGCCAAAGAAAAGGGAAAATGAATCCTAGAAACACCCATTATGCTGGGAGGTTTCTCTTATTTCAGTCCCTCTCTGGATACTCCCCCATGTCTCAAGCCCAGCCAGCACTGTTTGGAAACTGAATTTCCTGGTTTCTTCTTGTCTCCTTAGTGTGATGTCTAGCAATAGT